GAACGCTAGAGGAGTAATCCTCGTTAGGTTGAACACTAGAGGAGTAATCCTGGTTAGGTTGAACGCTAGAGGAGTAATCCTCGTTAGGTTGAACGCTAGAGGAGTAATCCTCGTTAGGTTGAACACTAGAGGAGTAATCCTGGTTAGGTTGAAAGCTAGAGGAGTAATCCTGTTTAGGTTGAACACTAGAGGAGTAATCCTGGTCAGGTTGAATACTAAATATTTGTTTAAGATAGTTATTATTACTACTACTTTTGACTTTTAATAAACCTGCTGATGAACCAGATTTTGTCTTCAGAGTTTACTTTGCTGTAAGGTGTTTATCTGGCTGTCTGAGGCAATACAATTATTATTAGAGATATTTTGAAGATCCCTAAAACTTTCAAGATCAACCTGTAGCGTATGCTGTCAATACTCTTTACTTTGGCATGTTTGCTGAGAATGTTATTTTTCAATTCATCAATTGTGATTTTATTCTTTTCTATGAAATCCTCATTTTCATTTGCAGTTTAGTCAGCCTCTTCATTCTTGCTATATTTTTCCTCTTGTTTCATTATCATCATAATGGTCTGTTCTTTGACCTTTGACTTTGACCTTTTTCTTCTGTTTGTCTCATTCTTTTTCAGTAACTTCACTCATCCAATTTTTTTTCTTTATTTTGCTGAATAATTGATCTTTGATTCTTTCCTTCTTACATATGCAAACTAGTAATGTCTCAGACATTTAGCTTTTACTTTCCCAATGTTATAAGTTCCTTCAGTTGCAATTTTTCCTTGGGATTACATTTAATCTAAATATTGAGGAAGGGGTGGGTATTTCACAAAAGAATTCAAATACCCATCTGTATGTGTATATATGTGTGTATTACAAGACTTTTATTGCAAAATGAAACACATGCATAACTGAATTTCCTACAAGCCACGTATTTTTGTTAAATATTCATGCACATTTAGTGTGAGCTATAAATAAAAGGAGAAACAATTAAGAAGTCAGTCAAAGCAGTCCATTTGATAATATGAGTAGCAGCCAGATGTTACAGTCCAAGTTGCAGTCAATAAGAAATTTTCCTGTGTCTAGTCTCTTACCTGTAGTATTAAAAGTGTCTTCATAAGAAGAAACAGGACTTTAAAAAAGGAAAAAAATTATTGTAAAACTGCTGAACAATTTGTGGAATATGAAATTTTGGATTTACACTTATCTGTGCAGTGAAGGCATCCATAGTTACATCCCTGTTGAACTACTCAGCTATAAAAGAAATGGTCAAACCTCACTTTTAAGTAGGAGTTAAATTGCATCGAATAAAGCTTCACTGCAATCTTAAATGATTTTTTTTTTTACAATCTGCTTTCTTCTTTTTCTTTGTGGAGGAATTGAATATTTTTATGAATAAAATTTCAGTTGAATATTTTTATGAGGCCACTCCCCCTTTCAACCTTCCACAAAAGGTCAAGAATTTGAATTATGTTTTTTTATTGAAATTAATCTTATTTGAAAAATCATCATTGTCATAAACATTGGGATTACATTTAATCTAAATATTGAGTAAGGTGTGGGTATTTCACAAAAGAATTCAAGTACCCATGTGTGTGAGTGTGTGTGTATGTGTATATATTACAGGACATTTATTGCAAAATGAAACACAGGCATAACTGAATTTCCTACAAGCCAAGTATTTTTTGTTAAATATTCATGCACATTTAGTATGAAATATAAATAACAGGACAACATATCAAGCAGTCAGTCAGTAAAAGTAGTCCATTTGATAATATGTGAAGCAGCCAGATGTAACAGCCCAATTTGAGGTCATTAAGAAATCTTCCAGTGTCTAGTCTATTACCTATAGTATGAAAAGTATCTTCATAAAAATAAAATGGACTATAAAAAAAGGAAAAATAGCTAACAAACTAGCTATTTTCACATGTCACCACTACTTCTTGTTGGTATGATGACACATGGTCTTTTTAAAGTGGGGTGCCCATGCACATACACATAGGTCAAGGCCCAAAATTGCCTGATCCCTGGGATCAATGTTGTGCTAGCATTGGTATTTCACCAACTCTCCCTCTTCAGTGCAATGAGGGAGGATACCCAGGAAAAAAAACATCCCTCAAATTTTACTCTACCCTCTCTGAAGTCAGCTATACAGAATCTGCTCTCCAACAAGCAATATGTTTTCTGCTTTGCCCACTGACATGTTCGTGGCCATAACTGAATTTGTATACCAAGCACTCAACAACAATGGAGAAGGTCAAGCCGTGGCTCTAGACATCTCTAAAGTGTTTGATAGGGTTTGACATGCTGGCCTTCTTAGTAAACTTCAGGGATATGGTATTACATGATGATTATTTGACAATACAATCATTCCTGTCAAACTGTGAAATGAAGGTCATCCTAAATGGGTTCTCCTCTGGCTCCTTTATCACGAACGCTCATGTTCCCCTAGGCTCTATCTTGGGCCCTACACTGTTCCTGATCTTCATCAACGACCTTCCCAATGTCATCAGCTCCCAAGTAGGCATCTATGTGGACAACACTTCTATTTACTCCTGCCTCAATAGTAAATCTGGTACCATTGACAAAACAAACCTGGCTGCTAATCTCCAGTCTGTGGTTGACTGGGGCAGAAAATGGCTTGTAAACTTTAATGCCTCCAAAACAAAACTGCTCTCCTTTACCCTCCACAGAGAACCCTCCCTGCCTCCCATCAGAATGGCTGATTCCCAACTCCTCGACAGCGCCTCATTATGCCTGCTTCATCTCACGCTGTCTGTTGACATGAGGTGGAATAAATACATTGAATCAATAGCTACATCTACTGTAAGGAAAGTTGGTTCTCTATGTTGTGCCAGAAAGTTTTTCTTGTCTGAGTCTATTTTTCAAATCTGCAAATCAACCATCCATCCTTGCATGGAATATTCTGTCATATATGGTCTGGTGCTCCCGCTTTACATCTCAAGGTCCGCAACAAAATCGAGAGACAAATATGCAAGATGATAGGTCCTGATCTGGCATCTATTCTACAATCACTATCCCGCACATGCGCCATGGCTTCCCTCTGTCTCTTCTACAAGTATTTTCATGGCAACTGTTCCGACAAGCTACTTTTGCTGGTCTCCAGAGTGCATAAATTTAAACGAGCTACCAGGCTGGCATCTCGGTCACACCCTTTTAGTGTCAAAAAAATTAAATGTAACCATGTCTTCTACTCGAACAGCTTCTTCTCTCACACTTCCCATCTGTGGAACTCCCTTCCCCTTACTTGCTTCCCTGATGACTATAATCTTCAAATATTCAAGTATAATGTCAATCAACATTTGACACCCCGAGCTTGTTCCCTGTCCTCCTCTGTATCCTTTCCTCTAAACATTTCCTCTTTACTCTTGTTCTCAATCCTCTGTAACCCCTTACGTGCTAGTAGCACTCCCGCCTTGCTTGGGGTGAATTGCTTTAAAAAAAATCGCAGCTAAAGTAGTTGCTATTCATTATAACAAGGTCAATAATGTGTTCAACTAAATCTTGGTATACAGAGATTTTTTAAAACAATATATGCCATTTTAATCTATTACTTTTCACCATCTTTAAAGAAACTTCATTATTTCATCCTCCCAGAATTTGTCATCTTTCTGGATGATGACAGTGGTTTTTACAGGCTTGCATAAAATTGAAGTTCTTCCCATTAAGAGAATTTTGTAAAGATCTTAGTAAGTGATAAAGTAAACTGGAAAGTGTGAGTATAGTGGGTGTAATAGTAACTGCCATCCATGATGCACCAAATTCTACAAAGAGATGTGGATTCTGGTATTGTCAACACCATTCTGATTGGCCAATTCTGGATGATTTTAATCAGTCCAAATGGGAACTACTTTTCTGAATTCAATGTCTCATTTTGTGGAATGACCTACCAATCTCACCAGATTACCATCAGTATTTGTGGTGCAACATTTCCACCTTTTTTCCATTGACATTAAATGGAAAGATTACATCAAATCAACTGCTATATCTGCTGCTAGGAAAGTTGGTTCACTATGCCATTCTAAACAATTTTTGTCACCAGAAACTATCTTAGATATTTATAAGTCGACCATTCAGCTTTTCTTTGAATATTGCTGCCACATCTGATCTGGTATTCCTGCTCTATATTTAGAATTTCGAATCTGCAATGTTATAGGTCATGACCTGGCATCTCACCTTCAGTCACTTTTCCACCACTGTAATGTAGCTTCCCTCTGCTTTTTTCTATAAATATTTTCATAGTAATTGTTCTGATGAACTTTCCTCTATGATACCTAGACTTGATGAATTTAAGAGCAGTGTTAGATTAGTGGCAAGATCTCATCACTTTAGAGTTGAAATGGCTACATGTAACTGTAAATTCTATGCTAACAGTTTCTTCTATCACACTTCTTGCTTGTGGAACTCTCTTCTGGCTTCTTGCTTCCCAGTCAACTTTAATCTTCAATAATTTAAATGCAATGTCAATCATTATCTTCTGTCTTCTTAATTGTTGTTCTTTTACTGTCCCCTCTCATGTTCTCTAATACTCAGTAATCCCCTTGCATCCTAGTGGCTTTATTGCCTTGCTTGAGGTGAAACACTTAAAATATAAGAAATGATACATTGTCCTTAAAAATATTCAAAGATATTTGACACCTTACATACTAATTCTCACTGTGATGTCAAAGCTTCTCACAGTTCTTGAATAAAAGTGAGCTATGGAATAAGAGGAGGGGGGGGTGATTGACTGATTTTTTTTTTTACAGATTATCAACCTTTTGCAGGTTATTTAAAACCAGAGAATGTTTTTAGCTTGTAAGATTTTTTTTTTTTAGATAATGACTGACTGATAAAAATCCTACTAATTAATCCATAGATCAGGGAGAAGAGGTGTTTTCATAGAGTATTTGTGCATAAGTGATGTAATGAACCTGACTAGCATTGGAATTTGGCTCTCTGATTTCCAATTCCAAGCCGTTATGCATTATACCACTCGCACAGCCAAGCTTACAGCACCTTGTATTCCCAAGCAGTCACCCATCTAAGTACTGAACAGGCTATACATTACTTAACTTTGGTGATCATGAGAACTTGTGTTGCTATAGCTGTAAGCCTGAAGAATGGAGGGTGGGAATCCAAGAAGGAGTGGGTAGATTTGTCTAGAATTTAGTGTACTTCAATGAACGTAAACACATAGCAAATTACTTAATGAAAGTTAAAAGAGTTTTCTTTCTCAAAATTTTTATCATATATATGAACCTTACAAAGCCTGATTCTAATGTCCTTTCTTTATTATTCTCTTATTGTCATGTATTGTTTTATATCACTATGAATTAATTGCAAAAAAGGTATGAATAATGTCAAAGTTTCACACTCGTCAGACATTTGCTGCATTCTGTTGTGGAATACCACATCCTTATTTATGTCCCTATTGTGACAAATTCCTGCAAGACCAATTGTGTTTCCACTTGTGGAATCTTCCATGACAAGCCAGTTAACCCCTGCTAGAAAATGCACTATTCCTGTTGTAATTTTCACCATCACCATCTTACAAATATATAACAAGCATTCATTGGTTAATCACCTTCAATCTAGCTTGCTAATTGGTCAGTTCCGACCAATCAGATATCCTACATGCGACAAATCTGTTTTCCCGCTCAATATGCTCGGAGCCTCCCATGTGATACACGACATTATAAAAACAGAACACTTGTAAGCTCCTTGTTGTTTTCTTTTCATTCATCTCTCTCTCTCGTGTCTCATTCCTTGCTACCAAGTACCAAGATGTAATCTTCAAGAACTCCCGTCTTAACCTTTGCGGTCAGACGTTAAAGACCATTACCAACATTCACGTAAGTACGAACTCTGAAATCGCATCTGAACTTTTACCAACTTGTACAATACACAATTTCAAACATGCTAAAGAAACTTTATTCTTCTAAACTACAGTTTAATAATTACTTTCACTTTATGAACTTAGGTACAAATATTACCTAATCTAAGAGACACAACTCTGTCTAACCTTTTCACTCAGTATTCATGCATGTATATCAAACACTAATAAATTCAATTGTTACGTTTTGAAACAAGATGATTTTGAATCTTTATTCTTTATCTTATATTAATTGTTGTGGATGGAAGATTATTGAACACCCACAATTTTAAACCTTCTGATAATTCAAACCTTCTACTCCTTTCCAACACACATCACACATCCGCAACACACTCATCATGTTTGACTCTGTTGATTCAGGTCCTTGCAAAATCTTGACAGGAATTTCTTTCATAAGAGCAGTGATATGGTGATGTTTGGTGATGCCTGGGGCCAATTCCTTGACTGTATGCCCCTAAGACTCAAGTAGAAGAAGGGAGAGGTTTACTGAGAAACAGGAACAAGGAAGATATTTAAAAACAAATGAAACATGAAATAAACACTTTATTCAAATTAAATATAATTTAATTTTTATTTCACTCTTTGATTGGATGCCCACCCGATATCTATGCCTGAGACCATCGCACATTCTGCTCACCCCCACTTCTGCATGCTACTGCATAAGAGCCACTTACAAATGTTCTTTTCTCAGCCATATCTTTTAAATTATTTTTAAAGTAATGAGGAAAGACAACATGACTAAAATATTTTGATTTGTTATGATTCAAATTCTTTTTTCAGAAATGAATTAATTATAATTTGAATGAAGCTTTAAAATCTATATCAAATCAATTTTGCAATTTTAAAAGATCCTTTTCTTAGAAATGAAATTTCTTTCTAGGAAGCATCTATAAATAAGTGAGGGTGAGGGTTACAAAAAATTAATAAGTGCCTGAGAAGTACGATTATTACAGACCTGAAAACACTTCGAAACTTTGAAAATATGTATGACCCATAGAGATACAAGAAATTGGACACATCAATGTTTTTTTTGTCAAAATACCAAAATAGTACAGTGCATAAAGTCAAAGGTTGAACATAGAAATATTATTCAAGAGAGGATTAAGTTCCTCCCTTCAGGATGAGTATTGGAGCAACTGGTTACTTGAAAGGTAACTGAAAAGCAACAAGTCACAGGAAGTTTGGCATGGAAAGAAAACTATACACATTAATGCAGTGAAGCAACTAATAAGAGGAGATAAGGATTTCTGCTCTTCACTTCTAAAGAGCTCTCAGCCCTATGCCAAGGGCAGGTAATTGATATTGGTACATTATTTAATAAAGATTCTGTTTTAAAGCATCCTTTACAGCCAGAAAAGTACTCTGGAAGATAATTAAAAGATAATAATTTACTGTTTTCACCAATAACAAGGAACCAGCCTTTTGTGAGGAAAGGCATATGAACATGCTTAACAGTATACACATACCCTTAAACTAGATACTACCAAAATGGAAGCATTTTTCCCCTGAAATGAAAGCAAAATAAACACTATCCCATTTTTAAAAATTTACCAAACACCAGGGAATTATCTAATTTAAATGAGATTTTTCACATTTGTTCATTCATGAATGAATTATATACTGAATAGGTTATTCTATTAAAAAACATTGTAAAAATATTTGTGGGGGTCATTTTTACTTCACCCTTGATATTGTGGCGTGCTAATGAGATTTGGTATAAAATTGTTAAGAAGGCTTTGGTGAAGATTGCATTTTTGATTAGCTCATCACATTTAAATTTTACAAAGAAACACAAAGAAGGAATATCAAGAGATTATTCAGTAATCAACAATAACAAGTATTGAAAAACAAGCAAGTACAACGATTGTGTTTGGTGAAACAAAGTTAAGAAAGAGGAAGTACTTCCCCTTGTACTAATGTGAGATTGTAAATATGTGTTAAAAGAACTTTCTGGTTTAAAATGTTCAGAGTTCAGCAATATGTGATAACTGAGTTTAAGTATAAGAAAGTTGTACAAAAGAATGATAGAATTCTGAGTTGGTTACTTGGCTTTTTGGACAGACACTTCACAGCATAGTGCAATTATAATTTTGTGTCTGTGTGTGTGAGTAGAAAAATGAGAATTCACGTACGTGGTTGAGCTCTGGAGATTTACTGTTCTACTACTGTTCTTTTCTTTGATTTTCGTGTTATTTATACTTTCTGAATAGGCTCCAGGAACGAGAGCGGGAGAAATATTGAAAGGAGTGTTATATTATTGGTCAAAAATCAACCAATTACTGATTTTTTCTAAACCAGGTTTGGCAAAGTAAACATCAGAAAATTTGATGTGGCTCATGCGTTGCATAAATTGTCCTATAGAAAATAGTGCTTATTTTCTATCCAATGGCTATTGAGTATTTTGTGGACGTGGTGTATGTAAACAACCGCTACAATATCTCTAACTGAATGGCTTCAAAATTGCAGTAGAAACTGCATCACTCTTGCAATCTGATGGAGAACCAATAAAGCCTAGTGGTATCATGAGGTACTGTTGGGATGCCTTGGGATCGTGATAATGATACTGTGACCCTGTCACCAGAGTCATTATCTGGTGAAGACTTTGTTAGATATAAACTAGTTTGGTTGAGGAGTAATGAAAGTTCATTATAGATTTTAGTTTATTTTTTTTCTATATTTCAGATAATTTTCCTGAAGAATTACTTTCATTTATTGTTTTTGTTACAAAGGAACAATTTAGAGGATCAGTTGATATTTTTAGTTTTAACCTACACTTTAATATTTAGGAAGAGTTCAATATCCCGGCTGTCGACGAATGGAAAAAATAGGTTCTGCCGATAAAAGCAGTTGGTGTTGTCGACTCGGGAGGAAAAAAAAAATTCGGGCAGTTTTGGCTACGGCGTTCGTGAGTTATTTTCCTGACGTGTTACAAGTGATTCTCTTTCTTTGTGTTGTGAAAGCCACAAATTTGCTTTGAGAACGCTTACTCTTCAGTAAAGAAACACAGAGGAGCATAAAGTCTTTTAATATTTTGTAAGGTTCAGTGCTGGATTAACCAAGTAAAAATAGTAAAAGCTACAGGATCTTAGATTTTCAAGGACCCTGCATTAAATACATTCTCATGAAATCAGCATCTTATAATCTGGCAGTTTTAATTTTTACATATCTAATTATTTTCTAATGGATATTTTTTTTTTACTTATCTGACAGATTTTATTGCTTTAAACATTATTTTTAGTGGATAGCCATATTTGAGTAAACACTTCATTTATTTATTAAACATCATACTTATTTTTGTCAATCAGCTTTTAGTGAGTCCCAATAAAAATAACATATAAAAATGTAAACAATAATAAAAAGAATTTAAATCAAAATAAGGCATTTGCACTTTCCTTTAAAATGCTTATCTCTTTCTTTGTCTCTAAACTTCTCTTTCTATACTTCTCTCTCAATCTATGAGAAGGCAACCCTCAAATAAAAAGAGGGAGAAGAAAAAACTGAACCCGGCCAAAAACACTAAAAGTTTGTAGGAGCAGAGTGTAATGACAAAAGTATGCAGGTGTAGACTTCAAGAAAGCTTTATTCAACTGAGAATACAAGGTTTGCATATAATGTCCTTTTATAGTCCCAGTAAACAAAAATAGTTCTCTCAAAGAGGGGAGTAATGAAACAAGGGAAGACCACTCTTGATTATTCCTAACACAGAGCTTACTTTTTTGTGACTGAAAAATGCCTAAAATCAGAGTAGCTCCATGTATAACTTCCGTTATAAAAAAAAATGAAAACAAAAGGAATGCTGGAAAATAAAATAATTTGGCCAATAAAAAAATTAACACAAAGATACTTTTTTATGTCTGCACCAAATTCTTGTGCCTATCCTAAAGGATAAAAATCTGACACCTCCAGGTCAGAGGTGGCCACAATGATACCAGGAGAGGATGGAACAAAAGAACAAAGCCACATGATGCTTGAAGAAGTAGTCAAGAGGTCATCTGCTACTGACTCAGTTTCAGAGTTGAAAAGAACTCATAGACTGACACTGACCTAATTTTTCACATTACTACTACTCCTATAATGGTCTTACTTCTAAACAACCACTAGACATTTCTCCAGACTGCTATCAATATCTGCCTGATTAACAAACTTGTTTCTATGCCGAATACAAAAGGACTCACTCATCACTCGAAATAAAATAAATAAAAATATATTATTTATT